GATTCGTCAGAACTATGTGATTCTATTTTTGCCATTTTGGTTTATTTTTGAATTTTACCAAATGCTTCCAAGGCCTGATACCAATTATTTAAAAGTGCAATGAGACAAAACACATCACATCTAAAATCGTACATTTTAAAGCCTGAAATTACGAACCACTAATAAAAATCTGATTCTGGTTTTATGGGACTCATCTTTGTCTCTTCTTTCTCAATTTGGTGCCAGAAATGTCAAATATTGGATATTTTCCACCCAGATTTTTTAACTCGTCTGTATGAACCTCAAGACTTAAACATAGGAGTCTGAAAGCTGATATAAAATAGACTTATATTATGGAGCAGCATTAATTTACACATTGAAACTGATGAAATACTTGCTTGCACTTGTTTTTTGGGGTTGGTATTAATCATTTTGAGGCAAAAGAAAATGTTCCTTTCTTGTGATTATTTATTTATCTTACAATTATGAGGCAAAGATCCAACGCATGGTCTCCAGTAAACCTGGTTTGTTCTCTAAAGCTGAGTCATTTACATTTGTTATCCAATCCGGCAGCAAAGATGTCAATCACTAACAGTTTTATTTAGAGATTGTGAAACTACATTCAAATTGTTTGGCCCTCAAAGCGTAAAATCTAACCCTGATGGGACTCACTGAGCTTTTAGAAGACCAAACCCAAAGGAGTCTCTATACGGATATTTAAAATTGTTCAATTTGGTAATATGTTTAAAGTGTTCATCTCTTTTCTTGTAAGAACCTGTAAAACAGAATATTGAGCATCTCGGGCACTTCAATTTGAATCCTGATTTAAACAGATCTCTTTTTAATGTGGACACTAATATATTAGAGATCACTCACTTCACCTAATCGATAGAAGCCCTGAGTATTGACGAGTTACAGATATATTTTAAAACTCCCTGACATCACACGGTCTGTAACATTTTCCAATGTGTTGCCATAAAACTTCTATTCAAACAGGATTCTCTTCCTTTTGTGGACCTCACTGGACACCACAAGTCTTCTGATATTGACGTTTGGATACTATTTCAGTGTTATTTGAATATGATCTTTCATGATGTGATGTATGAACCTCAGAAACACTCTTAAAGCCACAAATCCACCGCAAAAACAAGCCTTGGATCTTCAGTGTCAGAAATATTCAGGACGTTTTGGGCCCAGAGTTCAATGTGAACATGCAACAGTCAGAGCCCCAGAGCATCATGGGAAACTGAGGTTTTTTGGGGCCTCACAAAGACAGAAAATCAAAGCATGTTTCAGACGTCAGACAGATGATAAAACGTCCATCAGATCAGATATCAGGGAGAGCCTCAGACACAACAAAGAGGAGAGAAGAAGAAGATTTGGACAAAAAAATCCACCAAGAAGGTTTGATGCCACGAGATTCCATTTCAAGTGTATTTCAAGCAGTATTTAAGATATCATGATTACAATTTAGGGTTTGGAAGTTTTGAAGCTCCATATCAATCATTTTAAGATGGCTAACAAATGATATCCAATCAGAGGAAAGGGAGGACACTCTGAGAGGAGTTATATCATGCCCCTGCAGACTCAACATGTATCTAATAAATCCGTGACATTTGACCTCCAGCAGCATGTGGGTTTATTTTTAAATACCCTGTTTATTGTACTCTATTGTATTTTTGTAAAAGAAAAGAAACATATCTGGATGTTTTAAAGCCAAATAAAATCGTATTTTGATTTGAAGTGTCCTTGTACAAAATGACGTGTTCAAAAATCGTTGGAAAATGTTAAAAGATGTGAAAAATAAATGGTAAAACCGTGCATTTGTTTGCAGCAGGATGCGGGTTTGACCTTTGACCTGCAGACAGACATCAGGCCCAACACGCAGCACAGAGACTCTTCAGTCAGGCTTCAAGTTGCAGCCAGAAACACAGTCCAACAAATGTCCCATGATTCACAAACGCAACACACATTTCACGCAGCGGCGGATATTCCCAAAAAAAATAAACACATTTTTATATTTTCCGTGTTCTATAAAAAACGTCTCGGTCATTGAAACTTCCCGGCATGAATTATGGATTATATTTCCACACAACAAGAGGAAGAGGCTCAAAACAAACATCCTGCAGCAGGCCGAGAAACCCGGAAATGTAACATTTAAATGCAACAGCAGTAGTACATGTCTCAGAAGCGTTGTCATGAGAACAGAGACACACCGTGCAGATCGAGCAGCAGCAGGATGCAACATGTGATATTGTGTTGTTTCATTTCCCCCAAAACAAGCAGGAAGGCGAGGAGGAGCAGTAAGTAAGTGGGTTTATGATGTGCAAAATAAGCCAATATGTCAGACCCTGCAACATTACATTTACATATGTGTGAAATGTACTTTAAAGTCCTAACATGCTGGTTGTATTTTGAGGGTTTCACACTCAGGAGCACGCGCAGCCTGCAGACAGAACCCGGGGTTTAATGAACGCAGCGGCGCAGTTTTCTTGCAAAAAAAGAAACGAAGAAGAAATATAAAATATCGGGGGATTCTGCAGAGAGCAACCTGCAGACCTGCGACAACAATCACCATTATCTGCAAACACTGAGACACACACGCTGTCTGCAGAGATGGCACTTTAAAGCAGGAGGACGCGTAAAACCAGCAGCTTTGAAATGAGACTTTTCAATATGGTTTCATTTCATTTTGAGTCTTAATCTGTACAAACTACAAAAAATACTGTTCAAATAAGATCCCGATCACAGCAGCTTCCAAACCCCACACAGGGGAAAAGGTCTTTTGCGTTTTAACAATTAGAAGAACTGCACAAAAAATTCCGGAAATCAACACTTTAGGAAACTACGCTTGGATTCAGGCTTTAAATATAGCCTACATACAAATGGAAAATTTGCAAGATAAATGAAGCTATTCAGCTGCCCAAGCCAAGATAAGATGTTATCTCTGGGCCTAAAACAAATCAGTCAGAGTAAAGAGGCATAAAAGCGGAACCAGGAAGATAAAGTGTCATTTGTTCAATGTAAATATGACGAATGGGAGAAAACACGGCGGGAAGCAGACACCAAATGCACCTTCAGCAACACTATTAATAAGCACCTTTAATTCTAAGAGAAATCTGTAAAAAGTCTACTCTCTGACCAAACCAACAAAAATATATCAATATAAATATATCAATTCCAAATATTGTGTATATCCAGCTTCACCAGAAAATATTCAAATATCGAGGAAATAATACCCATAATACCAAAACGCAAACATAACTCACAATAGGCCTACATATTAAATTAAAGCTTAAAATCTGAGTTTTTTTTAAAAGGCAGGAGTGGACTGAATTCTGCACACCAAATCTTCTCAATGAAGCAAAACAATCCAGCTCCACCTATAAATCATTCAAATACTGATCAGCTGTATCTAAAACAGACGTTTCTGCAGATATGAGCCAGTAAAATGTCACATTTAAATGTTTTAAGGAATTAATTTCTGCAGTTTAAAGTGTATCTATAAAAACAAGCGGCACCAGAAACCTTGAAACTCGGATCACGGCAGCAACAGATCAGATGTGAACACAGATTTAAATAAAACACTGGAGCTCAACCAAGCTTCCTCCACGGAGCCAAGACAACACCAACGCTCAAATCCACCAAATAAATGTGAGTTTTATGGAAGACAAAACACCTGCAAGTTAAATCTGATATTTAAGTTTCGTCTGACACAGTTTAAAGAGTAGAGTGTCCTTTCAAACCAAACGAGGCTTAAGCTGCACCACAAATATTCAAATGTGAAGCGTAGAAAGAAGAAATTAAGACACTTAAAGTCCCTTTTGCATAAGGGAAATGTGACGAATTTAAGGAAATACTCAGGAGAGCAAAAACATTCATATACTTCCAAATAATTGAGAAAAGGCTGAACATGTGCAAGTTTAAAATAATACAATTTGCAGCTGTTTGCAAAATAGTTTTGGTTTGATCTGTAAATAATGATCCAAAACACACACACATACAGAGACAAAACACACACACACACACACACACACACACACACACACACACACACACACACACACACACACACACACACTAGCTGCAGCAGAAACACAAACACACCACATGACAAAGAAAACACGCTCACATTCAGACTCAAAATCAGAGTTTTCTGCAACCAAAAAAGACCAAACATCTGCACATTGAAATCCAAATCCAAATGTTTAAACACAGTTCGATGTTTGCGAGTGAAATCAAACTGAAGCACCAAAACACAGCAGCGTTTGAAAGAAACCATGTGACGTTAGAGCGCATGTGGTGATATTCTGTTGGGATTTTCTGCACAAAAACACACAGGAAAGCCCGCAGTGAGCCCGCGGGCCGCAGCTTGCAGCGCCTCGGGTTTCAGAAAGGAAAGAAAATGTCACACAAGTCAGTCAGGCTCCAGCAGCCTGAGCGCGACCTCTGTTGCATCATTTGACACAGTTTTTCCACCCAGACGCGCGTAAATCTGTATGCGTAAAAGAAGCTTTACGCACAAGGTGCAGAGCAGTTTTCCGCTGTGTGCGTAAACAACCAGAAGCAAAACTGCCCAAAACATAAACAAAAATAAACCTCAAGTGGACAAGAGGGGATATTTCTGGACTTCTTTTTTAAGAGTTGTAAATAAAACCAAGGCTTCTCAAAAGCATTTGTTTGGTTTTAAGAGATGTTTGCTTTCCTATAAACCAAAAACAGTCACGTGTATTTTTATTTGTAAATAAAACCAAGGCCTCTGAATGCATGTGTTGGATTGTAAGACATTTTGCTGTTCAATAAAACCATAAAAGTGTAATTTAGAAAACTACACAGTGAATAATCGCTTTAACAAAAACCCCAACATTTTGGTTAAATTTAGAAGAAAAAAAATTCTACATAATTCTTTTAAAAATAAGAATTACGATACTTTTGATTCCCTGGTGATAACAACAGTAACAACACGTGGTAAAGAAGACAAAGGGATATGCGTTAGTTATGAATGCAACCTATTCTTTTATTTTTTTATGATTAAAACATTTTTTTTATCTTTTTTCTTTAACTTCTGTAAGCGACAAACACGGGAATAAGAATAAGACCACAATATTATCACAACCAGTGACGACAATTAAAGGACAATCATTCCAAGTAGTATTAGATAATGAGGCATTTTTTTTTCTTCTTCTGTCAAACAAACGGGTTTTTTTTTTACATTGTTTTGCCTTTTTAGAAAAGAAGGAAACCCCCAAATTCAAATTACAAATAGACATTTTTTTTTAACTTTCTTTTACTAATTATACAAATAAAAGAAGATGCGTGAAATTCGTTTTTAGCGGCGATCACGTTCACAGTAAAAAAAAAAAAAAAAAAAAAAAATCACCGAGGAAATATCCATTTAAAAACGAGAGATTTACGTTTTAGTATTCTATTTAATTAGGAGTTAAACGAGGCGGGTTAAGGCAAAAGGCCTCCAGCTGCACCAATAAAACATTCAGTGAAATACATTTAAAAATCGGCGCCACCAAACTCCATTGAATTGTTCGCTAATTTAACAAAACAACAAATATTCTTCATAAAAAATGCAATAAAAATCTCGTTTAAATGGACATTTTCTGCAGTGATGGAGGCACAATTCATTTTCTATTCACTCATTCATCCATTCATTCTAATTCCTACTACATTAGGCCTCTGTAAGCTGAATAAATTTCCTAAAAACCGATTCTTTGGTCTATAAAAAGTACATGTTTTTAAACTGGGAAATGAAATTATAAAAAAAAAAACAAGCCTCTGGACTTTAAACGGCAGGATTCGCTTTAGAAATAAAACACATTTCACTGAAAAGAAAATAATAATTAAAAAAGAAATTAGTGTTTTCTCCAATGAAATCATTCCTCCAACGCGGCTCTTCTTAGCCCGCATGATACCTGATAATACTGCACACATGCGGGTAAAAAAACCGGCTATTAGAGATATTATTAATATTATTTTAAATCTTAAAATTAGACAAAACTATTTTAAATACACATTCTATAAAAGTAATGCCTCCTCGAACAACAGAAGTAAATCAGCCTAACCATCCTCTCTGTTTTTAAGTCACATTGCACGTCGCTGACTGACAGTATTATACAGAGACAGACCCGGACACTTATAGGAACAGACATTATGTACACACAAATTCAACTGCAGCGGGAAACGGAGCAGAAAAGAAGAAGAAGAAGAGATAATAATAATAATAATATTAAAAAATACCTGGAAACTTCAGGGCTGCTTTCTGTCAGTTTCTCTGCTGCTCTTTTTTGTTTTTGCAGTTTAAGTCTCTCTTCTTTTCTCTATAGGTATAATATTTCAGTTTTTTTACAATGTAAATGTTCAGTGTAAAATGTTCAACTTACAGTTCCAGTCATTTTTAAGAGTTTCACTCCTTCAGGGGTGGAAATGGGGGGGTGAGGGATGGATGGAAAGGTGAGCTATGGGTGAGGGTTTGGAGTGTGTTAGTGTATAAGCGGGTTGGAGGTCGACCCCTGGTTTTGATGCGTAAAATAGTCAGACAAACCCCCGGAAAGTCCCGAGGGGAAGGCCGGCAGAGAACCGGACAGACCCGGCCTCAGAGAGTCACAAGCCAGCGAGGAGGACGGAGCCTGCGGCGAATTGGAGGCCGAAGCCCGGGCGGCATGCAGGGAGCCTCCGGGCTGAGCGGTCATGGAGGGGTGAGGGACGTGGGGGAAAAAGTAACTCTGCCCGGACAGCAGGTTGACCGAGCACGGGTTCAGGGAGTAAGTGGCCCCGGAGCAAGGCACCGAGAGGCCGCAGGGCACCGCGGAGGCCGCCAGAGCCGCAGCCGTCAGGTGGTGCGTCGCGTAGGGGAGATCCCCGCCGACCAGCCGGTCCATGCTCAGCCCGTTGGAGCTCGGGAACGACGAGTGGTTGCCCCCCATGTTCTGCGTCAACATGGTGCTGTAGGACATGGGGTGGCCCGGGTACCCAGAGGAGGTCCCGTTGTAGCCCAGGGCGCTGCCGGCCCGCGGGTGATGCAGGGAGAGGAACGGGGACATGGGCCAGTACAGGGAGCCGGCGCGGTCCATGAAGGTCAGCCCGGAGGTCAGCCGCGCGCCCCGCTTGAAGGCCAGCTTGGCCCGGGAAGTGGTGGACCGCCGCCGGAGCTTGCCCGTGGTGCCACCGATGAAAACATCATCACTGCTGGGGTCAAGCATCCAGTAGTTCCCCTTGCCCGGGTCGTCGTAGTGCCTGGGAACCTTTACGAAGCACTTATTCAGGCTCAGGTTGTGCCGGATGGAGTTCTGCCAGCCCTGCTTGTTCTCCCGGTAGTACGGGAAGTTTTTCATGATGAACTCGTAGATGCCGTTCAGGGTGAGCCGCTTCTCCGGACTCTGCCTGATGGCCATCATGATCAAAGCGTTGTAACTAAAAGGAGGTTTTTCGTACTTGCCGCTCTTCTTATCTCCGTCCTTCCCTCCTCCGTCCCCGTCTTTCCCGTCCTTCTTTTCCTCCGGTTTCTCCTTCTCGTCCGGGCAGCTATCCGGACCGGAGGAGTCACTTTTAGGATCCGCTTTGCTGTCCTGCTGCACGGCCGGAAGAGGAGCCTTCTGCTCGGCTTCCTCCGGCACGCCGGGCCGGTGGAGGTGGGTCTGGTGGAGGTGCTGCTGGTTCTGGTGGTGCTGCTGGTTCTGGTGGTTGTTGTTGTCGTTTTTCACGGCCTCGGGCACCAAACTGTTTATACTGAACGACGATTTAGGAATCATTTTCACCTCTTTGCGCTCTCCCATATCCAACATCACCGGGCAATGAGGGGGGAAAATGGCAACGACCGAAAGCGAGGAACACAGCTGGGCTTCAATCTGTCCTGACTCTGCCTGCGAACCCGAACGGGAAGGAAGGAAGGGGGGAACGGTAGGAAGAAGAAAGTATAGCCCAACAAACTATTTCATGTTCGCTTTGGGGAGAGAAAGGGAAACACACACACACACACATGTACACACACATCGATAGGAGACAGATAGCTGCAATTAATTAGGGAGCCACAGCCACTAAAGCAAGTAAAAAACATTGGTTGGACCTTTCCAGTCCTCAGCCAACCAGGGGAACATTAGTATTAAATATTAAGGCGTCCTCTGCGCGTTCAGCCAATCATGACGCACAGGGAAACACACACATGCACCAGCGCCGTGCACGCTGCAAAAAGTGCCCAACCCGACCTCTCTTTTTTTGAATGGTTATCGAGTTTAAAAATAATAGTTCGATCAAAAATAAACATGAAAATCTAAACAATTTGATATCTATTTATTTTTATTTTCAAAAACGATTTGTTTATTTCGGTTGATTTGTTGATTCTGTTTACATTTTTATGTCAGAACAAGTGTCTCCAAGTCACATTTTCAAAATAAAAACATTTGATATTTATTTGTTTGTTTTGTTCAGGTGAATTGTTTATTTTGATTGTTCTGCCGATTTTATCTGCATTTTTATGTTAAAAATAGTGTCTCCAGGTCCACATTTTTTCAAAGACAATCACTTTTTCAAGTCAAATAAATTCAGCTTTATTTAAAGGTATATATGTATGGGCTTTATTGTTATATTGTGTGACCTTTCTGCACGAATAACAGACCTTCAGAGTGTCTAACATATCCAAAAGGATTTTCCAACATGGACACTTTTTGCAGCGTAGAAAGCTTTATTTAAAAAGGTATATATTTGTTGTCGTTAATGTATATTTCTCAGATATTTTCTGCACAAATAATAGACTTTCAGAGTGTCTTACACGCCCCAAATGACTTGCAACACGGACACTTTTTGCAGCGTGGAAAACACACTCACCCTTCAACACTGCCTTCCGCCCTCACCCTCCCCTCCTCTCATCCCCCACCCCCCCCCCCCTCCTCTCATCCCCCCCCCCCCCCCCCCCCCCCCCCCCCAGCTAAACTAAACCCTGTCGCTGGAAACACACACCGTGCATGCGTACACCAAATCCCCGCCGCTCCTCATATTTACACTCCTCCGATTCAAATATTTTCCCCTTCGGCGTGTTCAAAACTGTTTACATCCAGAAGTCTGAGGCAAAATAAACAGAGGAAGGCACGCGGACACGGTCAGGACACGCGGAGGTGATTTTAGTGTCAGATAGCAGCAGCAGACTGAATGCGCGCACTGAGGCTGAGGATTCTGTTTTCTCCAAAAGCCGATTTCTCCGTGCGTAAAAGTGCGCGCCGGAGAAGCGTAAAAGTCATGTCAGGGTTTCTGCTTCCTGGAAGGGGTTTTAAGATTTCCTCCCGGCGGCTCCATGTTGGAGGAGAAGTGATCCGGAGGCAGAAACACTTTCAGTGACTAGTGAGGGTTCAATAAACCGCGGAGAGCTGGAGGCCAACGGAGAACGCGCAGAGACATTTCTTTTTTCAGCCGTTTGGCATCGGCAAACTAATAATTGTGGAAAAAATAAATAGTACATTTTACAATTAAAGGATGGTTATTTTTATATTTTGAACAGGAAATATTTCACTTTTTCTTTTATTTCACACCTTACATCCAAGTCTGATATAAGAGATGACATTACTTCTTCAGTGTACTCTCTTTATATACAGTCTATAGTATACTACTGCACACGTACCTCATGTACTGCTGCATTAATAAATACTCACACTGAGGGCTGTATTAACCTACAGGGAGTTTATATTCAATTATATTAAGCATTAACATCATTGGCTCTCTCGAGTATATTATGGACACATTGGATGTTTCCATTTGCCTCATGTTAGACCTATTATATATGTCCCCTTGTTATCTGCAAGGAATATCAAATATGTCCTAAGAGGTTTACACGCAAGGAAATAAAATAAATGTGAAATGACTGAAGAAACTGTAAAGACTTTGGTATTTATAAAATAACATTTGCTACGGCCTATCAGCTGCTGCCATTATTATACAGGAGACCACTGTATGTTCAAATACTCACACTAATAATAAAGTAGGCTACAAGAGCATTATTCATGTTCTGTTACAGAAAATAAATATAGGATACATGCACTATTATCTATAATAGCTTATGTATTATTACGTATAGAGCTTTTTTACGACATGTGCAGACACGATATAAACAAAGGTTTTACGCAATACATTTACAGATATTGTATTGTTACTGATAAGATATATCCAGCCTATACTGATACTAGTGTACAAACTGCAGTACCACCCCCCCCCCCCCTTCCTCAATTACTGCTGATATAAAGGGCTGTTTCATTGACTGTAATTCTACCATAGTACTGTTATTGTCAGACTACTAATATCACTATCACTAATTAATATTATTGATAGAGCTATTGTTGATCCACTGCACATCGGTCCTGCATGCATGTGACCACACATAATGAAAGAGAAGCAGAGTGTTATCAACTCAACAAAATAAAAGCTTCTCAGTGAAAGATGCTGCGACAGCAATCTGAGACACATGGAGCCAAATCAGAGTTATTTGAACACTTCTAAGGCGGGGTGAAAGCCTCAGAGTGACATTAAACCTCTAAAAACAATCAGTATTGTGCTAAAAACCCGGGAACGTGTTGGATATGGAGCAACAAACTAAATAGTCTAACGATTTTGAGGCAGATTATATATTAATTCAATTCTCTTGGGTTTTTCTTAGGACCAACAAAGACAGAAAAACGCAAAGTGTTTCCATCCAAAGTGGCAAAATGTGACAGAAAATCCCTTTCAATGAAAGACAGAGATCTCCTCAGAAACGAGAGATTTCTTTCGGTTTAAAAAACACACCGATATTTCTGTCTCCAAATGAAGGACATTTGTTCACCCGGAGGATCAGCGGAAGGTCTCGGACCCTTGGAGCCGTTTTTACGCACCGAAACCCCGAAGCGTCACCGAGCCGGAGCTCCGCAGCGAGACACAGATGTGAAGAGCCTTTCTCTGAGATATTAAGAAAAGGCTCAGATTCTGACGATTCATAATAAATATAATGTAGATATTAGACAGAGGAAGAAGGAACACGACAGACATTCCTGGAAAACACGTAAAAGTATGATTTTATTTCAGTTTGAAGGTTTTAGACGAAGCTGACTGAAAAGAGAAAATATCAGATCTCACTAAAAAATAAATTAAATGTCTTTTAAATTGATCTAAGTTAGTCTTTTTACTCTCAAATGGGTTTTTGTAAAATACGTATTCCTACTTTCTCACATTAGCCTATCGTTGTGGTTTTTGCACAATAAGTGCACATGTTTCTGACATTTCTAAAGGAGCTTCAGAGTTTACTTGTATTTTAGGAAACAGAGGGAAACACATGAAAACATTACACAGTAGTATTTGTTTTGACAATTGCATTATTATAGTGTATTATTCGGTTGGAAATGAATAAATGATCATAATTGAGGACAATTGAGCTTAAAATACCAACCAGGTCAACTTACTTGGCTTTTTCTCAGATGTTCAGTCACATCTCATGGCCTTTAAAGAAGAACTGTTGGCTTTGAGTTCCTAAAAAAACACACAAGTGTACTTTTAGTCAAGCTATTACCTCCAAGTTCAAACATTAAAATGATAATAATAGCAACAATAAAAGGAATAAGAGTGTGAACACTAACCAACATTCTGCATGCGTTAAATTGAATGTTGTTCATTGTTGTTTTCCGTCATGCTCTTATTTGGAAAGGGGGAAGTTTAACTGGCTGTTTTGTTTGTCAGCTCCTCTGTGACTCAGTGCACTAAACATACTGCGTGTTTGTTTATTGTTGTTGTTGTTGTTGTTAGTTTGCTCACAGAAGCTGAGGATGTGAGCTGAGTTTGGACCGATCAGCGACTCTGCTTATATCAGGAGGAGGAGGAGGAGAAGGAGGAAGAGGAGGTGCAGATGAATACATCCATTTAGCCTCAGAGAGAACCCCCTGCCTCCATTCCCCCTGCCTCCATTCCCCCTGCCTCCATTCCCCCTGCCTCCACTCCCCCTGCCTCCACTCCCCCTGCCTCCATCCCCCTGCCTCCATCCCCCTGCCTCCATCCCCCTGCCTCCATCCCCCTGCCTCCATCCCCCTGCCTCCATCCCCCTGCCTCCATCCCCCTGCCTCCACTCCCCCTGCCTCCACTCCACCTGCAGGTTCTTCACCAATTGTCTGACTTTTGATCAGATTTTTACGATTTCTTCGCGTTAAACCTTTCAAACAAAACCAGCAGGTGGATTTTTCAAAAGGAAGTGAAGAGAAGTGGCGGCTTGTGCTGGTTGTTCAAATAGAACAAATGTAGATAAAGAAGCCACAAAAATAGGTTATTTTTGACTGGGACTTCAAACCAAACCAGGATCCAGTTAAGTGTTTTCAGTCTGTTTGTTCTTTTGTTGGCTAACTTACTAACAAACCAGACTTTAATATTGTTTTAATTTTTTTTTAAATGACCAACAACACGGGGCGTCAAATACAACCAGACTAGACCCACTTAACCCAAGTGTAAACCCCATTAAAGACTTACATTTGCGCTGTGACGGATGAAAGCGAGATTGCCTTCCTTGACTTGTTTGTTGGTCAACAATCAACCACCAAGTTCAACTTTAAAACACAATGTACATGCTCACAGAGAAACCAAACCAGACCAGATGTATATGTACAACACATTCAAACTGTAACTTGCAGTACAGGACAGTTCCTTACGTCTTATTTCAATAACCAACTTCAAGCTGAGTCGACCAGACTCCATTCATGTTCTTCTGAATAAGAGCACTTTCAAAAAGCTGCTAACGCATCACATGGTCTCTTTAGTTTGTCATCTAACAACAGGGAGTTCAAAGTTGGGTTTAAGTGTTTCTTAGGTGTTCTTCAATTGTCATTAAGGGGGTTACGGAGGTTTAAAGTAATTCTTATCTTATCTTATAAAGAGTTTCAGGGTTTTTATTCCAAGGGGTTCTAGTTCTGCTTCTAAAGTTGATTTCTTGGAGAACGTTTAAGTGACTCCTAAAGGGTGTAAGGGGGTTCCCAA